GAAATGGCCCTTGGTACTTGTTTGACAGTGGGCCCCACTGTCAAATGGCCCCCACTCCCCCCTGGGGACTTGTTTGACAGTGGCCCCCACTGTCACATGGCCCCCAGCCCCCCCCCGGGTCCCCCTCTGGAGCCTGTTTGACAGTGGGGCCCATTGTCAAATGGCCCCCAGGCGCCCCCCCCGGGGGGACCGCTGGAACCTGTTTGACAGTGGGGCCCACTGTCAAATGGCCCGGAGGCCCCCCTCCCGGGGGGACCCCCCTGGAACCTGTCTGACAGTGGGGCCCACTGTCAAATCGGCCAACCCCCCAGGGACCTGGGCGAGCGCAGTCCGGGTGGTTGACAGTGGGGCCCACTGTCAATTGGCCCCCCCAGGGCCCCCTGGCCAGGGGGGGTGTCAAATCGCCGGTTTGGGTCCAAAAGAGCCCGTGGTTCGCTCGGGCCGGGCCCGGGGGGGGGGGGGGGGGTCGATCGAATCGTCGGTTTGGGGTCCCATTTGGGGGGGTTAGGGGGGGGAACTATCTCACACGCCTAGAGACCCAGAAGGGGTCGGCGGATTACGGATTTCGGATTCGCCAAGCTCATGGACCCGGGCACGCGCACCTACACGCTGTGCGGCACGCCAGAGTACATGGCGCCAGAGGTGCTGGTGAACAAGGGCCACAGCAAGCCCGTTGACTGGTGGGCGCTGGGCATCCTGACGTACGAGATGATGGTCGGGCAGCCTCCGTTCTGCGACGACGACCCCATGGGGCTCTACCAGAAGGTCCTCTCGTGCAAAGTCTACTTCCCCAAGTTCTTCTAGGGGGACGAGGAATGACATAAACATACAAACTCGAAGGTCCACGCGGATTTCTCGGATCTGCGCCGGACCCCCCTGGCGGCGCCTCTGGCGCCGCCCCTGGCGCGCCCCACACACCAGGGAGGGGGGTCCAACGCCGATCCGAGGAATCCGCGCGGACCTCCGAGTCTTTCTGTGCATGCCATTCTCTTCGCTCCCCGTGCCCTCGACCAGGACGCCAAGGTCCTGGTGAAGAAGCTGCTGGTGGCGGACCTGAGCAAGCGCTGGGGCAACCTGAAGGACGGCCCCGACCAGGTCATCGGGCACCAGTGGTTCCGGGGCCTGGACGTGCCCGCCCTGCTCCGCTGCGAGCTGCCGGCCCCCTACCGGCCGCGCATGCAGGACGCGTGGGACCTGTCGAACTTCGAGGAGGAGTGCCCCGACTCCGACGAGCTGCCGAAGCCGGTCACCATGAACGACCCGTTCGCCGACTGGTGCCACTAGGGGCCCAGCTGCCCGTGCGCGCCGGCGGCGCCCCAGTGGTCCCAGACGTCCGGCGTCGCGGTGTTTCCCAGTCGTCCTGTGGTGTCGGGTCCTCGTTTCGAAGAGGCAGTCCCCGCGTCTCCTGCCTTCCTGCCTCCTCTCCTCCTCTCCTCCTCCCTCCTCACATCTCGCATCCTCGTTCTCATCGTCAGCAGCAGCAGCATCACCATCGTCTTTGTCATCATCATCATCATCATCATCATCATCATCATCATCATCATCATCATCATCATCATCATCATCATCATCATCATCATCATCATCATAAGCAGCAGCAGCTCCCTGCCTCTACCCTCCCCATTTCCTCATCGCCACCGTCATCGTCATCCTCATCCTCATCGTTCTCCTCGTCGTCGTCGCAGTAACCGCATCATCACCATCACCATCACCATCACCATCACCATCACCATCACCATCACCATCACCATCACCATCACCATCACCATCACCATCACCATCACCATCACCATCACCATCATCCATCACCACATCACCATCACCATCACCATCACCATCACCATCACCATCACCATCACGTCCTCTCCTCCATCAGCATCAACATCAGCATCAGCATCATCATCATCATCATCAGCATCATTATCATCATCATCATCGTCTTCGTCGTCGTCACCACCACCACCATCATCATCATCATCATCATCATCATTATCATGATCATTATCATTATCATTATCATTATCATCATCATTATCATAATCATTATCATTATCATTATCACTATCATCATCATTATCATTATCATTATCATTATCATTATCATTATCATTATCATTATCATTATCATTATCATTATCATTATCATTATCATTATCATTATCATTATCATTCTCATTCTCATTCTCATTCTCATTCTCATTCTCATTCTCATTCTCATTCTCATTCTCATTATCATTCTCATTCTCATTCTCATTCTCATTCTCATTCTCATTCTCATTCTCATTCTCATTCTCATTCTCATTCTCATTATCATTATCATTATCATTATCATTATCATTATCATTATCATTATCATTATCACTATCACTATCATTATCATTATCATTATCATTATCATTATCATTATCATTATCATTATCATTATCATTATCATTATCAGTATCAGTATCATTTACATTTTCATTATCATTATCATTATCATTATCATTATCATTATCAGTATCATTATCATTATCATTTTCATTTTCATTATCATTATCATTATCATTATCATTATCATTATCATTATCATTATCATCATCATCATCATCATCATCATCATCATCATCATCATCATCATCATCATCATCATCATCATCAACAGCGACAACAACATCAGCAGCAGCAACAGCAACAGCATGGCGTTCCCGCACCCGATTCGGCACACCCCTCACACGCTTCGTGGACACATATGGAGCTCTACCGAGGGCCCCAGCGGCAGGGTCCGCATGGCGTACCCGCACCCGAGTCGGCACACCCCTCACGCGCTTCGTGGACCCATAGGGAGCTCTACCGAGGGCCCCAGCGGCAGGGTCCGCATGGCGTACCCGCACCCGATTCGGCACACCCTTCACACGCTTCGTGGACCCATGGGGAGCTCCACCGAAGGCCCCAGCGGCAGGGTCCGCATGGCGTACCCGCGCCTGTTTCGGCACACCCTTCACGCGCTTCGTGGCCCCATAGGTGAGCTCCACCGAAGGCCCCAACGGCAGGGTCCGCATGGCGTACCCGCACCCGATTCGGCACACCCCTCACGCGCTTCGTGGACCCAGGGGGAGCTCCACCGAAGGCCCCAGCGGCAGGGTCCGCATGGCGTACCCGCACCCTTTCGGCACACCTCTCGCACGCTTCGTGGACCCATAGGAGAGATCCACCGAATGCCCTGGCGGCAGGGTCCGCATGGCGTACCCGCACCCGATTGGGCACACCCCTCACATGTTTCGCGGCCTCCTTAGGGGCCCCTGCCAAAGGCCCCAGCGGTATGGTCCGCATGGCGTGCCCGCACCCGATTCGGCACACTCCTCACACGCTTCTTCGTGGCCCCATAGGGGAGCTCTACCGAGGGCCCCAGCGGTAGGGTCCGCAGGGCGTACCCGCACCCGATTCGGTACCATACATGCTTCGTGGCCACATAGGGAGCTCCACCAAAGGACCTCGCGGCAGGGTCCGCATGGCGTACCCGCACCCGATTCGGTACACCCCTCACGCTTCGTGGCCCCGTAAGGAGCTGTACCTAGGGCCCCAGCGGCAGGGTCCGCAGGGCGTACCCGCACCCGATTCGGCACCACGCATGCTTCTTGGCCCCATAGGGGAGCTCTACCTAGGGCCCCAGCGGCAGGGTCCGCATGGCGTACCCGCGCCTGTTTCGGCACACCTCTCGCACGGTTCGTGGACCCATAGTGAATGCCCCAACGGCAGGGTCCGCATGGCGTACCCGCACCCGAGTCGGCACACCCCTCACGCTTCGTGGCCCCGTAAGGAGCTGTACCTGGGGCCCCAGCGGCAGGGTCCGCAGGGCGTACCCGCACCCGATTCGGCACCACACATGCTTCGTGGCCACATAGGGAGCTCCACCAAAGGACCTCGCGGCAGGGTCCGCATGGCGTACCCGCACCCGTAAGGAGCTGTACCGAAGGCCCCCGCGGCAGGGTCCGCAGGGCGTACCCGCACCCGATTTGGCACACCCCTCACACGCTTCGTGGCCCCATAGGGGAGCTCTACCGAGGGCCCCAGCGGCAGGGTCCGCATGGCGTACCCGCACACCCCCACGCTTCGTGGCGCCAGGCGGTTAGGAACGCAACACACAACGGAAACAAGGGCGGGCGAAAGAGTTGGACAAGAATGGGCACGACAGGAGCTGTCTTCGGGGTTCGGGCCAAACACAACATCTCCCCGCGAGCCCGTGCCCGCTGTTCCTTTTCTACTCTCGCCGCAGTCCGCGTGGTGGCCCCCCTCCTGCGTTTCACCTGCCCCGCGATGCATGCCGCTGAACATGGTTGGGTCCTTCGCCAGGTTCTGTTTCGAGGCACGGGCCCCCGATCCCTCGACCGCTTCCCCAGGACTGGTTTCCCATCCCGAGTTTGTTTTTTCGACGCTCCCGAGGCGCGGCGAGGGCCCCCTCCGATGCCGAAAGCTGTGAGAAGCCGCCGCCTCCATCTCTTTCGAGACGCCGGATGTCTGGGGTTGGCCGCCCTGTCCTGGGCCTGGCCCCTGGAGGAGGAGGAGGGGGAGGAGGAGGAGGAGGAGGAGGAGGAGGAGGAGGAGGAGGAGGAGGTGGAGGAGGAGGAGGAGGAGGAGGAGGAGGAGGTGAGGAGGAGGAGGGAGGAGGAGGAGGAGGAGGAGGAGGAGGAGCTGCCGAGGCGGCGCAGCAGCCCTGCTGCGCTCCCGGGCCCCAGGGTCGGCGCGCGCGCGCGCGCCCCTCTGTCGGCCGCGCGTGGGAGTGGCCCTTCGCCAGCGTGACCCTGGCTGCGGGCGCGCAGGCGTCCCCCCACCGCTGGCCTCCTCCTCCTCCTCCTCCTCCTCCTCCGCCTGCGCGCACGGCTTGGCCCCATCCGCTGGCCCCGGCCCGAGCCGCGCGCCAGAGGTCGCCCTCGACCTGGGCCACTCCTGCGTGCCGCCGACGCCGCCTGCCCAGCTGCGCCAGGCCAGGGCGTGCGCGCGGGCAGGCCCTCGGCCCCGGGGCGCGCGCGCCCTGGCGGGCGCCTGGCGCAGAGCCGCGCCCGGCGCCCGCAGCCTGCGCGCCCCGCTGTGGCGCGGCAGGGCCGCCGGGCGCAGCGCCCGCCCGCCTCGGAGATCCGACGTCGCGAGAGTCTGCAGCACAGCCGGCGAAGAAGCACGGCCCGAGCCCCGGGCGGACCAGGGCTCCGGCCGCGATTCTCGGGAGCGGAAAAGAGGGGGGTGATGACTAGGGGGGGTGGATATCATGGCGCGGGCCATGAGATTTCCTCAGATTTCATGGCGCCTCTTCTTATTTAATCGCTTCGCTCATTCCGCCGGCCCACATTGTATCGCTGGTGCTATATGTTTGTGTGTTCGTGGCGAGCGAGAAGAAGTTGGAGGAGGGGGAGGAGGAGGAGGATGAAGAGGGGAGGATGAGGACGAGGAGGCGGTCTCTCGATGGCTTCTTGGAGTATTTTTGGGGCCAACCCTGGTCGTGGACATGACGCCTCTTTGGGAGGCTTCGTGGGGTCTCTTGGGAGGCCTCTCGGGGGCCTGTTGGAGGTGTTTTTGGGGCCTCCTGGGGCCTCTTGGGGGCCTCTTGGGGCCTCCTGGGGGCCTCTTCGGGCAAAGATGTCGAAATGCCCGTTCGGGTCCCCCGTCTGTGCCCTCTCTTGGAGCCGTCTTGGGGGTGTATTGGGCCGTCTTGGAGGCCTCTTGGGCAGTCTTGGGGCCATCTTGGGGCCGTTTGGGGGCCGGCCTCTTGGGGCGTCTTGGAGCGTCGGAAGCTGAAAATGCGAGAACGCCAAAAACCTTCAAAAACCAATGGAAAATCAACGATTTTTGCTTCTTGGGGCCCTTTTTGGAGGCCTCTTAGATGCTTCTTGGGCCATCTTGGAGGCCTCTTGGGCCGTCTGGAAGCCATCTTGGGCGTCGTGGAGCGATCTTCGGGCGTCTGGGGCCCCTCTTGGACCATGTTTGGGGCCTCTTGGGGCCCTCTTGGGGCGATCTGGAGCTCCTCTTCTTATTTCATTACGTCTCAGGCCCCCCCGCTGGGCCGCGCACATGCCGCCGGTCATGATTTGCACCCCCCCCTCTTGGACACCCCCCTCTTGGCCGCTCCCGAGATTCTCGCGATGCTGCATTCTTCGAGCGGCATCTTTCGGGCCGCTTCGATCTGTGAGGGTCCTGGGGCTCGGGACCGGGCAAGCTCGCCGGTGGTGGAGCACTGGCGGCGTCAGGATCTCCGGGCTGCGTGGTGCGCGGTGGCTCTCAGCGGGCGGCGCTGCGCGGCGCAGCGGGGTCTCGAGGAGGCGGCGGGCCCCGTTGCGCGCGGTGCGCGGCTGCTGCGCGGCCGCGCGCGGCCGCTCGCAGGCGGCGCGGCGAGCGCCGCGGCGGCCGCGAGGCTCCGCGACAGGTCTGCGCGGGAGGGCCGCGGCCGCGCTCTGCCGTGAGGCCCTGCGCGCGCGCCGCGAGCGGAAAAGTTTAGTATCGTTGACGTTGAACCTTTGTCCTCGTCCCAGTAAGTTGGCCAGTGGGGTCCAGGCCACGCTAGTGGGGACAGGGATCGGTGGCACGATGCCCCAGAAGTGGGCCTGGTTCCGCCGCCAGAACATGTCCACATCCACCGCTTCTGAGGCGTGCCCCAGGATCTCGAGGAGCGTGGGCGAGGGTATCTGCCCGCCTGCGTGAGCGGACAGGTACCCACATCACCGCTCCCCGAGTCCCTGGGGCACGCTCCCGCGGGGGTGGACCTGGACATCCGCTGGCGGCGCACTGGTGCTGCCCTCGGCTGCTTGCTCGTTCGATTTAGGGCTGGGCTGCAGTCGCTCTTCAGGGGCAACGTCACGGGGGATGCAGGCGGAGAGATGGGCCTGGTGCGGAGGAGGAGGAGGAGGAGGAGGAGGAGGAGGAGGAGGAGGAGGAGGAGGAGGAGGAGGGGGAGGGGAGGGGGAGGAGGAGGAGGAGGAGGAGGAGGAGGAGGAGGAGGAGGAGGAGGAGGAGGGAGGAGTGAGTTTTTCCAGTTGGGTTTTCCATTGGGTGTCGGCGGCACGTGTGGTGCGTTTCTACAACGGCTGGCCACGCAGGCTCCTTCCAACGGCAGGTGGGGCGGTGTGGTGGCTCGCCGTGGGCGTCTTCGATGCTCTCCTTCCTGTGCTTCGTCATCTTTCTGCTCATGTTTCCCTCGGGGGCGGCCAAGAGAGGGGGTGATGACTAGGGGGGGTGGATATCATGGCGTGGGCCATGATATTTCCTCAGATTTCATGGCGCCCCTTCTTATTTCATTACGTCCCTGGCCCCCCCCTGGGCCGCGCGCGCATGCCGCTGGCCATGATTTGCCCCCCCCCCCCCCCCCCCCCCCCTCTTGGACGCCCCCCTCTTGGCCGACCCCGAATCCCTCCCTCTACTTCTTCGTTCTTGCCCATTCGTAGTATACTTGCTCTTACTGCCGCAGATTATCCCAAATGCCTCGCCCTCTGCCGACGACCACCTATATAGCGTAACGGGAGATGCCAGAGCTATACCGGGATCTTTCTGTGAACATCATGAGATAAACATCGGGCTCAGCAAACATCTCAATGTTGGCGTTGTTGTTGAACGTTTTGTTGGCGCAGAGTTGGCGTAATTTACGAGAGCATCTGGCTTCGGGAGCGTGAACATGATGCAACTTGCAAAAGGATTCTAGCCTCAGGAGCGCGAGTCTGGCGCAAGATACGCAGGACTCAGGCCTCGAGAGAACGAGTTTGACGTAATTTACCAGGGGTTCTAGCTTCAGGAGCGCGACTTCGGAATAATATGCAAGGGATTCTGACTTCGGAAGCTCGAATCCATTATACATGTATGTCTACTGTATGTATGTATGTATACACATGCATATGTACATGCATATATATATATATGTGTATATAGATATGTTTATGCTTATGCTTATGTTTGTATTTATATACATATATGGATGAATGTGCATATGCAAACATGTATACGTATACTGGTCTCTGCATATGTATATGTGTTCGTGTATTTGTATTTGTATGTGTATGTGTACATGTACATATTATCAAGCGTGCATGCTAGCATATATATACATGTGTACAAGTGTGCATGTGCTGGTATGTGTATGTGAATTTGTGTGTTATCTAGTACCTGTATGCGTTCAAGTACCTGTACATGCATATGTATATGTGTAGGTACAGATATGTGTAGATGCATGTGTAGCGGTATAGGTATAGGTATAGGTATATGCATAGGTATATGTGTATGTAATGTGTGGGTATGGGTATTTGTATATGTGTATGTCTACGTGCATGTATCAGCATATGATTATGTTTATGTAGTTATAAATGTATGTACATGTGTAAGTCCATGTATATCTATACGTATATGTATAGATATATGTATATGTAGATGCTTATGTATATGTATATGTATATCTGTATATGCACATGCATATGCATTTGCATATGTGTATGTATATGTATATGTACATGTCTATGCATATGCAGATATACACGCATATTTTTATGTATGCTTAGGTATATGTGCACCAATGTATGTATATTGTATACACGTATGCAGATGAATATTTGTAGTTATATGTAGCTATAAATGTGGATGCATATGTACACGTTCACGTAAATGTTTATGTATATGTATAGGTGAGTGCATATGTACATACACATATACATGTATGTCTATGTGTATGTGTATGTATATGGCGATGTACGTGTACATGTATGCATATGCATGTATATGAGTATGTCTATGTTCATGTGTGTATATATGTGTATTTGTAATTGTATTTGCGTATGTATGTGTATCACTGCATGTATAAGTATGTATGGTGACATGTATGTACATGTATTTGTATACGTACATATATGTATGCACGCATGTATATGTATGTGTATATGTCTATGCGTATGTATATGTATATGTATATGTACATGAACATGTATACGAATATGAATATGTACTTATACATGCATATGTATATGTATATGTATATGTATATGTATATGTATACCTATATGTATTTGTAGATGCAGGTGTACATTTTTATGTCTTCATGTGTATGTATGCATGTAAGTATGTCTGAATAGGTACATACATATATACATATGCATGCATATGTTTATGTATATATGTACATGTACATGTACATGTACATGTATAGGTATATGTATATGTATATGTATATGTATATGTACATGTATATGTATATATGTGTATGTTTATGTATATGTTTAGGTTTATGTATATGCATATGTATATGTATCTGTATATGTATACCTGTATGTATACGTATATGTATGTATATATGTATGTACATGTATGTATGTATGTATGTATGTATGTATGTATGTATGTATGTATGTATGTATGTATGTATGTATACATGTATGTATGTATGCATGCATGCATGCATGCATGTATGTATGTATGTATGTATGTATGTACGTATGGATGTATGGATGTATGGATGTATGTATATGTATATGTATGTATGTATGTATGTATGTGTATATATATATATATATATATATATATATATCCCCGCGCGCGAGGCCGGGGGGCCCGGGGGCTGGGCCCCGACAGGGCATGGGAGGACCGGGGCCTCCGAGACCGCTCCCACAGCACCCCGGAGGGGCCGTGGAGCCCCCAGACTGCCCCAGAGAGCTCCAAGACGCTCCCAGATGCCCCCAGACCGCCCCAAGGCGACCGCCGAAGCCCCAAAAGAGCCCCAAGACGGCCCCAGGGAGCCCGAAAATTGCCCAGGAGGAGCCTCAGACGGCCCAAGAGAGCTTCAGGATAGGTCCAAGATGGACCACAGAGCGGGAGTGGGAGGCTCCAAGGCGCTCCAGGACGACCAAGATCATCCCAACGTGGCCCCAGATGGGCCCAACACGACAAATACACAGCACAAGAGGCCCCAAGAGAGCTCCGAGAGGCGTTCCGAGAGAGCCCGAAGAGGCCCACATCTTTGATTTTCCTATGTTTTTTATGTTTTTCGCTTTCTCGCGTT